AATTTATATCAATCCATGCAAAAATTTTTTTACACCATGCAAAATTATTTTTGCCAGCCTAATTTATTTATCAAACACCAGAAACACAGGGTTGGTAACTATTCACTGTTAAACAGAGCATGAGTGCTGTCTACTGTTACTTCAGTAACAGGCACGTTTATTATGTGTGATGGTTAATTTTTATGTGTCAACTTGGAGGGTGTTTCGGATGAGGTTAACCTTTAAACCAGTGAAATTTGAGTAAGACCTTATCCTTTATAATGTGGATTAGCCTTATTCAATCAGTGGATAGCCTGAGTAGAATTAAAAGGACTAGACCCTTTGAGCAAGAGAAAGTTCTCCAGCACATGCCCTTAGACTTCACCGGCACCGTTGAGTCTTTGGGTTTGCAGCCTGATGAGCACACAGCAGATTTTGGATTCTCCAGCCTACATAATCACACAGTCCAATTCCTTACACAGGCATACTCAGAGATATTGCAGATTTGGTTCCAGACCACAACAGTAATGTGAATATCACAATAAAGTCAGTCACACAATTTCGCTTATTTCCCAATGCATACAAAAGTTAATTTTTGCACTGTGCTGTAGTATGTTAAGTGTGTAATAGTATTGTATCTAAAGTGGTAATCTACACACACTAATTAAAAAACTCTAAAGGATGTTAACAATCATCCAAGCCTTCAGTGAGCTGTGATCCTTTTACTGGTGGGGGGTCTTGCTTTAATATTGAAACCTACTGACTGATCAAGGTGATGGTTTCTGAAGGTCGGGTAGCTGTAGCAATTTCTAAAAAGTAAGACAATTGTGAAATATGCCACATTGACAGACTCTTTCTTTCCCAAATGATTTCTTTGTTGTATATAATGCAGTTTGATAGCAGTTTACCTGCAGTAAAACTTCTTTCAAAATTGGAGTCAATTCTACCAAATCCAGTCTCTACTTTTTTGTCAACTAAATTGGTATAATATTTTAAATATTTTGTTGTCATTTCTATGATGTTCACACCTTCTTCACCAGGAGTAGATTCTATCTTGAGAAACAATGTTCTTTGCTTGTCTGTAAGAAACAATTCCTCATTTGTTCAAGTTTCATCATGAGATTGCAGTAATTTAGTCCCATTTCAGGCTCCACTACTAATTCAGTTCTCTTGCTATTTCCACCACATCTGCAGTTACTTCCACCACTGAAGTCTTGAACGCCTCAAAGTCATCTATGAGGGTTGGAATAAACTTTTTTTAAACTCCAGTAAATATTGATATTTTTGACCTCCTCCCATCAATCATGAATATTCTTAATGGTTTCAAGAATTGTGAATCCATGAAATCCATTCCAGAAGGTTTTTAATTTATTTTGCCCAGATTCAAAACAGCAATCACTGTCTATGACAATTATAGCTTCAAAAAATATATTTCTTAAATAATAAGAGTTGAAAGTCCAAATTACTCCTTGATTTATAAGCTGCAGAAAGGATTCTATGTTAGCAGGCATGCATGAAAACACTAATCTTTTTTTTTTTTTTTTACATCTCATCAGAGCT